TGGAGATTGAATCCATTCGAAAAAACGTTCTCAGGAAGTTTATTTCACATAAACGCAGTTCTCCAGTGGAAAAAGTTCTCAAATGTGAAGTTCGAGGTGTACTGAGTTGATCCTCAAAACGATGAGCAGCCACAGTCCTTCGCGTATTTCTGATATGCACCGCTCTTGGTGGAATCACTTTACTAAGTCACTAGAACACTTCCTGTGAAAGTATCTATAGAAGAGAGACAATTCTCCAACCTTTTTCCGGTGTTCCAGATTATCAAGGTTGCAAGTGATGTTCCTGTCTCCAATCAGGCGGATGGCTCTTTTCTGGATGGAATCCAGTAGCTTCAGCTGTTTGGGGGCAGAGGTCCATACATGAGAACAATACTCCAAAGAAGGTCTGATCTGTACTTCATGAAGCATATGAAGTTGCTGAGGTGTGTACAGTTTTCTGGTTTGGAACAGTGTTCCAAGCCTTTGAGAAGCAGCCTTCCAAATTCCAGCGGCATGATTGTGCCGGGAAATATTGTTGTTCATTTTAACCCCCAACAAACTTATCGAAGCAGAAAGCGGAAATGTCTGACCTGACATTATTATATTCGGTTCGGAGACATTCATCTTTATGGAGAAAACCGATGCCTAGGTTTTGCCAGCATTGAATTGAACTTGGTTGCTTCCACCCCATTTCGAAATTACTTCTAGATCCTCATTAGGTTATGCAACATCCTGCTGCCGGTGAAGATGTGCATCCGCACCCGATGTGCATCCGCACCCGAAATATATGACGAGACAAGAGTGCTGTCGTCAGCAAAGCAATAACTTGGATTCTTGTTTTTTCCAATTAGGCGTTGATATACAATATACGGAAGATTGGAGACAATATGGATTCCTGGTGAACACCAGTGTTGATAGTTGAAAGCATTCGAGAGATATCCATCGACGGCCATTACGGCCACTTGCAAGTAAGTTGAAAGGCCATACACAAAAATGATCCGACAAGCCGCAGGATCGAAATTTGACCAGCAAACCAACATGCCACACATGGTCAAAGGCCTTAGAAATATCAAGCGCAAAAGCTCTTGACTCTCCATGTTTCACGATTGCGTTATTCTAAATATGGGTGACATAAGATAGAAGGTCACCTGTTAATCTTTGTGTCCGAAAACCATATTGATGATCGCTCAAGATTTTGAAGCCTTTCAAATATTTGAGGATTATTTGTGATAGCAAAGCGACTGATCTATAGTTATCAGTCCGAAATTAGTCAAAATTGAATCCAACGGAGTCGGTTACAAACAATCATACAAGTGAAGCTAATAAAAACGTGTTAAAATGAACTTTTCCATTTCAAATATGCATTATACAACAAGTATGTACGTGATGAATGGATAGATCGTAATTGTACACAAGGAATTCAATTAATCAAGTGAGATCGATAAAGATATCATCGATAAATATTATACATTTTCAGACCCCTATCACATAACATCATAGCAAAGAAAAGAAAGTTGTCTCGTTGATATAATGAACTTGTCAGAATTTATTCATTTTCATGACAACGAACAGCGTTTGGCTTTCACGGCAACGAATAAAAACACTTTGCATTGATTCAAATCAGAAAGCATATAGAATCAGTTTATGGGGTGATGCCTAAGTTGAGTCCTTTGCTAGCTGAAAGAAATTATGGATAACCTTGAAAATGAAATTCATAATAATCAGTAGATCAACAGTTTCTTTTACTGGTATAGATACGTAGATATATCAGTCTGTTTAACTGGTACAGGTAGGTAGATGGACATGTTTGTTGTTTTCTTCAATTCCATTCACCAATCAATCAAATTGGCCACTGAAATGGTGATATCACTGAAAATGATAATAAACATGATTCTGCAATTTTCCACAAACCATCTTATACGAACATTGTTACACATAATTCATCGTTACATCCCTATCGACATGAAGTACCAACATCCGATAGTATGCATCACATAATATTGAATATTCCACTGTCAAAAAATAATTTTCAGAGAGGACTGAGTATCATCAGACAAATTGATATCAATATTAGTTGGTACAAGGTAGATAGTATCCACTCTATTCCGTCAAAAAATTACGATGATTAGCTATTTACCAGGTTCATACCACTTCAAGACCTGAAACTAATGAATAACTTCATATTATTCCCAACACAACATTCTGTAAAACCTGCCCAAAGTTCTAATAGATTGTTATTGATTTCCTTAATATGAATTTATATAAAATTTCTGCAAATTTTTTCATGCATTTACCACTTAGTCTTTTGAAAATGAGATCAAAAATGAAATAATCAGAAACTACAGAGTGCCGAAGCGATGAACAACAGATATTGTTCAACAATTTTCCCTCTTTACATCATGGTATTTGGTGTGATAGGTTGAGTCCAAAGTGAGTGGGTCTATTCGACCTTTCACCGCAACCCGCAAAGGTTTATTGTGGCTCACACCTATTCACACTCGACCAAATAAACCCAGCGTCTTAACGAAGCCGATTGGTTTGTATGGTGAGTGGTATTCAGGTCAGATGGTAAGAGTTCGGCTCTGCCGAACTCTAAAAACCTAATTTGGTCCTCAACGGGGCAGGCACAAAGTATGTGCTCTGCTGTTCCATAATTTTTCAAACAGAGGCGACACACACTGTCTTCCGACAGTCTCTGCATACGATAATTCAAATGGCAGTAAGAAGGCATGTTAGACATCGTAGTTCATCCCTACTGTAGTCCAACAAATGTTTGGTAACTGACCCAAGATTTTGATTTCTTCCAAACCAACTTCAGCCTAGAGGAAATCAGCAATATAGCGTATAAAAGAATAAAATAAGGCCATGCTGCTGGACTAAAATAATTTTCGTTGAGAATTTTGTTTACGTCTTTTTGGAGCATTCTCTACTTGAACAAAAACATATATATTAGGAAATTTATTATTGGCAAATATCTCTAATCCAGGCATTACATTATTCACAAATATATGGGTTAGTTTAAAGTGATAGATAAATAGATATACCAACCTCATCTATTATGTTGTTTCAAAATATTTGTTCGTTTTAATGTCATGTCTTCTTGTAGCTCCATATCTCAATAAATATTTATTTTACTGGGTGTCATTGAGTGATTTTTGGCAACTTTCTTCTACAAATCCAAATTGAATCAGAACGTTGCCCAAAAAAGCAACCGTTAGCCTTATGGCAACGCTAGTTCTAATGAACGCACTTTTTTTTAAGTACGAAAAACAAGCACTACAGGAAAATCCTCAACGCGCTCTCGAAGCGATGCCTGTGCGAAAGTAGCGATTTACATTGGATTTGAATCGCTGGAGCTTAAATCTATTTGGAAAACAGTTCTTAGAAAGTTTATTCCACATGAACGCAGTTCTCCAGATGGAAGAGTGTTCAAACAATGAAGTTCGAGGTGTACTGAGTTGAACCTCAAAACGATGAGATATATCAGAAATACGCGACGGATACAGTCCGTCGCGTATTTCTGATATATACCGCTCTTGGTAGAATCAAATGTGCCAATTCACTTGAACACTTCCCATGAAAGTATCTATAAAAGAGAGACACATCTCCAATTTCTACGATTTTCCAGACTAACAAGGTTGCACGTGATGTTCGCGTCTCCATGTTCAGGCGGATGGCTCTTTTCTGTTTGGAATCCAGCATCTTCAGGGTATGTTTGAAGGCAGAGTTCCATACATGAGAACAATACTTCAACGAAGGTGTAATGTGATCTTTAATAAAGCATCAAAAGATGCTGAGGAGTGTACAGTTTTCTGGATCGGAACAGTGTTCCAAACCTTTGAGAAGCAGCCTTTGCAATTTCAGCGACATGATTGTGCCAAGACATATTGGTGTCTATTTTAACCTCCAACAAACTTATCGAAGCAGACAGCGAAATTGTTTGACTCAACATTAGTTTGCGAAATTTCGTTTCAGAGATTTTAGCCCCGAAGACAAGTGGTCGACTTACAGTGCTTCATGATAAGGACCCTGGTGGAGACTGACCCATCAAAAGTGTTGTGTGGGATGGGCTTCAGCTTCCATGCGGTTTTTCATGGTGAAGGACGTATTGGAAAAGTCAAGAAGCTCAAAAAGTGGGTGCTTCACTACTTGAACGGTAGACAGAAATTGTCACTTTTTGTTGAGGTCTGTTCTTCTTTGCTTTTGCACAACCAAAACGATCGTTTTTTGGATCGCATCGTTGCATGCGTTGAAAAGTGGAGTATCTACAATAACAAGGGATGTTCAGGACAGTGGGGAGACACCGATAAGCCACGCAGGCACTTCCCACAGATGAATACCCACCAAAAAAGACCATTGTTACTGTATGGTGGTTAGTGACTAGTGTGATTCACTATAACTTTCTGCAACCGGACCAAACCATCACAGCGGAGTCCTATTGTCAGAAAATTGACGAAATATACCGGAAATTGCGTCCGCAGTAGCCGACACTGGTCAACAGAGAAGGTCTGTTCCTGTTCCATGACGAAGCCCGTCCGCTCGTTTGACTACCATATTTTCAAGCACTCCGATAACTTTCTCGCCGGTAGATCCTTTGCCAATCAAGACCAGGCAAAACGGCCTTTGTCAAATTTATCGAATGCCGAGAACATGATTTTATTGCTGATGGTATTAATCGACTCATGTTGCATTGGCAAAAGTGCACTGATTCAAATGGCGCTTATTTCAGTCATAAATATTACAGTTTAACGCTGATTCAAAAAAACGGGCAAAACTTTCGAAGCAAACCGATATTTCACTTTGAATGTTTTTTGATTTCATATTATATTTATGAATGTAATCGAGATTGAAATCGGTAGGATTATTCAATTCTAAACTTTATCCTCCAGAGTTATATTATGCTATAGATAAACTGAAAATGACAATTATTCTTTGGAAAACTTCCAACTCTATGGGAGTTGAGATGTCATCAAACCCCAGATTCCTCAATTAATCACGAATAAAAAGCAAAATCCAGTTACCTTAAATCTAAGTGGCCCAACAGGTGGTTTCGCATAAGGAATGCTGGTGAAACCACTAAACTTCCGATTGTTTCTTGTTTTCCAAAACTTTCCTCTCAATAGTCCGTCACTGATTTCAACTTGCGGATAATCACTGGCCGAAACACTGCACTGGAAAATACAAAAACAAGTGATAAGCAGAGTGACGAACATTTTTTCAAACCGGTACGGCGGTCAATCACCAACTGACTGTCAGAGTCAGAAGCCGAACAAAATTAAACAATATTTTAAACGCAATATTATTATAATTACTGTTGGTGGGAAACCTTTCAATCCACCATTTTAGTACGGTGAATTTGGGAAAATACATCGATATATACATTGAATGCTACTTCAGCCAAAGTATGGATGTAAATTCGTGTTTTGTGTCAGTTTTATGATTAATTTAACGGTAAACTTTCTTTTTTTTTTATTTTACTCAATTATAACTATTATGAAACAATATAAATTCAACTTATCAGGTACACAAATACAAATACATATTTGAATATAAATATTGAATATATTGGTACAGGAGCATGAAGAAACTTTCCCTCAGTTATCTCAAAGGTGCGATTTTGTTCCATTCTTTTCATAAAAGAGAACGTATGCTTTTTCACTCACAAGCGATTTTTGTGAAATTGGTGACACATGTGAATCGTTGTATTTGTGCCACGTGTCAGTATTCGGGTGTCTGCAGTGTGCCCTCTGTAAGTAGTCCCACTGTGATTTAAAAGTGCATATAGATTATAACAACAAGTAGCCACATTTTCTGCTGCAAAACTGTCCATATCCAATCCTTCTACAGGAAATTCGATGACAACATTCAATTTGCCTCTAAATCTTTCCGTTGGAGAGAAGACAAATCTTGGTTACATCACTTTCAGTTTCTAGAGGAGGATTAGGATTAGTTCAGCCACTTCACTCGCTCTGCCATCATTTCTGTCCACATCTTGCAGTGTTTCCAATCTGATAGAAATCATCTTACAATACCCAAAGCCAATATCTGCTTGTGTTTTTGATCTGGGCAAATGTCTTTGGGAATCTAGAAATGGCCAATCAATGAAAATTGAAGACATGAAAAACCAGAGGGCATATGACAAACCATTGCTAGATCGAGCAACTAGTATTTTATTGAAGACAGCTTCTGACACTTCATTCAACCAAGCACCAGCTTCTTTCACAGTAACTGCTAGAAGATGTGCCTTATTTTAAGTGTCTGTAGCATCACTTGAGACTCTATTGGATGACGTCTCTTTCAGACTTGCGATTGAATTTCGACTTGGTACACAACTGTGTATTCAACACTTGTAAATGTGGTGCATTTGTGGATGAATCAGGTACTCATGGGTTGAGCTGCCGTTTTAGCGCTAGTCGTTTATCTTGCCATTGAGCAATAAATCAAAAGAGCTTTAACTTCAGCAAAAATTCCTGCGATTTCAGAACCCATAGGCACAAGTAGAGACGACGGAAAACTTCTGAATGGTATGACACATGTTCCATGGGAAAACGGTAAATCTGTTGTTTGGCATTTTACTTGTGTGGATACATCAGCAAATTGCCATCTTTCTGTTACTTCTGCGAAAGCCGGTGCTGCTGCCTCTTCAGGAGAAAGTTCCAAACTACGGAAATATCATAATTTGGGAAATTATTATATCTTTCGTTCAATATTCCACAAATGACTGATACTGCTTGTTGTCGAATAAATGAAGATCTCAAAGCTTTCACAGGGGCAGCCACAAACCACTGTCTGATTATTATTAATAGTAAATCTAATGTCATTGTTTTCGACTCCAAAATCAATCGCAGTACTGTACTTAATGATTTTGATTTTAGTTTAAATGAAACTTCTCTCACAACTGTTGAAGAAGAAAAATGTCTGGGAGTTCTCCTAGATGCCGATCTCAGATTTGAAAAACACATCAATATACTCTTACAACGTGCATATTTCATGTTGAGGATTATATACGGTCAAATACAGTTCATTTCATTGAGATTGAGGATAATATTATGTGAGGCAACAGTCCTTTCAAATTTCAATTATACAGATGTGCTCTTTGGTCCATGTTTAACTAGTCAATGTAAATCGAAACTTCAAAAAGTTCAAAATTCTTGCTTGAGGTTGATCTATGGCCTGAAGAGACGTCAAAGAATTTCACAAAAACTCAAAACTGTTGACTGGTGGAATATGAGTAATAGAAGGGTTCTTCATTCCGCAGTACTCTTCCATAAAGTCATACTGACCAAAACCCCAACATATCCGCATAGAAAAATTACTCGTCGGACAGATGCTCACAACCTCTATGTTAGAAATATAGGTTTATAAATAGCTCCTAGTTTTCGACTTGAACTTTTCAGGCGCAGTTTCAATTATCAAGTTTGCGCAATATATAATAATTATCCTAAATTAATAAAAAAAATGGGCTTCAGCGATTTCAAATTATATTTAAGAAATATTTATTTGAAACTCTGTGATCTATTTTCTTATTATTCTCATCATGCCTCGATTACAGTAGAACGGGGTATTTTATAATAATGCTCTTATAACACCGCAGCGACTTTTTGAGGTTAAGTGGAAGAACAATTAATAACGATTTATCGTTATGAAAATTGAACTTCGCCTTTTATTTCCAACTTATTCATATTTTTGTGCATACTGTTTATTAACTGTTAAACCTTATTAGTTGTAAACAATAAAGACATTTATTATTATTATTATCAGTTATCTTTGGTATTTTATTTCTTTTCTTTTCATTTCACTTTATTTCATTTCAATTCATGTTATTTGCAACACTGGCTGACAAAGTAATATATAGTTTACAGTTTACACCAGAAAATTCGAAACAATCAAGTATTTCAGTTCATCTCAGTAATGGGTAAGCAATTCGTAAATCATGATGTTAATTTTTGATAGCTTTGGATTGGCCGAGAATAGCCAGGAGTGACAACAATGTATTCATTTTTTAGTGAAACACAAGGAATATATTGGCCGTTCTGAAAATTTCGGCTTCAGTGTATTTCTTAGATGATATTGATCTTATTTTACTGGACTAATGATGTTTCAGCATCATTCTTTACTTAATATTTGGATGAAGGACCAAAGAACTCGTTTGAAGGTTGAGTGTTAGTCAACAACATCTATACCAATTTGAGATCCCTATGAATTATTCATTTTTATTCGTGATTACATCGAATACCTTTTATATGCATTATGTGTGTGGAACGTGGAACCATTACAGAATTATTTCGTGGTAATGGTTAGTTTCCACTATTCACCTAAAATGATTTCCAACTATTATTGTTTACGATAAATTTGGTACGAGTGCAAAATTGTCCACAAGGCCGATGAACTTGAAGGATTTTTCCTGGAAGATACAGTCAATGTAATATTTATGAAATTCAGGTCGTAACCAAATTATTTCAGTCCACTCAAATAAAAATAAAAATGAACTTTGTTCAAAACAATGTTTCATAAAATACCCAGGGCTACTCGAATCCGAGTCTATGTATCGGGATCTCGTAAACAGTACCATATATACCTACTGGGTTGAATTGTGGCAGATTTGCCAATTTGCAAATACCGAAAAATCCACTCTAGCTGTTATTACGTATATTACGAAATTGCCGTACCTTCATTACTCTGTATACACTCTACATGAAAACTTCCATTGTACTATCAAAATACATTTTCATACGAGGTTTCTTCATATTTGGGACGCCCTCAACCTAGAGATGTTGAATCCCGTACCTATATTTTTATAGCAATTGCAGTTATTTCTATATTCTCGAGAGTTTCGTTAATGTACCACTCTTTACGTACCACTCCGTAAACTCAAAAATTTCATCGAATATCACATATGGACCTCTAATATTTCCCGCAACGTACAACTGCCAGGAGTTGAAGCAACTTTTTAACTTTCATGTCCAGCATATCGTTTCTCAGTGTTCGATCGAGGATAAATACTATTTGAGAAAAATCAGCGATGATAAAAGGCGAAGTTGAATTGTTTTTCCACTTAACCTCAATTTCCACTAGCATCTGTCTATTCTGATAAAACACATTTCCAAACGTAGATCAAAGTGATGAACAATTATGGCAATGAAAAAATTGAAAAATTTGACGATAGTCGTGCCACGAAGTGTTCTAGCCGACACACATTTTTTTTATAAGAAAGAAGACATTGGCAGATCAAGATCTTCAGATGAAGTCGTGCTGCAGGTTTTTCCGGGTTTTCCTGCAGCTGGAAAAGCAAATGCGCCACTGGAATCAATGAGTCGCCCCGGAGCGCCAAATAATTTTTATTGTTATTTTTATATTACACCACATTGAAATTTAATTTTCTATTATGAAAAAAAGTTCTTGAAATAATAATAATAATATTTATTTACAAAAGAACAATTTTTACATGATTATAGAATATGGAAAGTATTACATTGTAAACAATCATTTCAGAAATATATTTTCCCATATAGGCTCTTGAAGACCCTGTCCATGGGTATACTTAATCATACATATGAGCAATAAAAATTCATTGTAAAAAATGGGATGAATCATTTAAGAGTATCAATCAGTTCATGGAAAATATGTCTATTTTCTGAAAGTATCCATTTTTTGAGTTCCCTCTTCAAACTGTATTTGTTATGGATCGCTTTGAGAGAATTTGGCATTATGTTGTACAATTTTTTTCATTCTGAAAGTTTTAGTGCTCTTTTTTATTACATTTATAAATTTAGTAAGAAACCTATTCATCGCTATATCAGGGTCTTCACATCTGTATATTGCCTCCCAATTCTCGGTTGTAATATAGCCCACGATTTTATTCTGGTCAACTTTTGTCATTGTTTCTTTATTTGGATTTTTTTTAGTTTCTAACGGTATATTTTTCACTTCAGCTACAATTGGAAAGTGGTCCGTTATTAGATTCATAAGGACACTCTATTTTAATTTCATTAACATTGAGATTTTTATTTCAAACGAACATGTGATCGATACAAGTTGCTGAGTTATCAGTTATTCTAGTATTACTAGTAGAACTAGGGAAGTAAACCCATTTTCTGCCAGTACATTTAGATACTTTCCAGTACACTCATCAGTGCTCAATTTATTTTCCCCAATATCTATAGTAATATCACCTGCTATAAAATAGAAATTAATTTTGTTGTAATTAGCTATAGATAGATATTCTTCTAATGAATTCACAAACTCAATTTCATGACTAGACGGTGATCT